GGTTTTGATCCTAGCAAAGGAGGGAGACCTGAGTTTTACTTTGATGAAGGAGCTTATCCTGAACAGGTTACAACATTATGATTTTGTTTTTGTTATTCTTAACGGCAACTTAAATCTAGGTGTGTACCAGTAAAAAGATTCCGGAGTATAATATTTTGATTTAAGAAAAACTCTAAGTAACAAAAAATTAATACCGGGTTTTTGTAAGATATAGATATGGATTTAAAAGTTTGTAAATGAATCATTCATTCTACTGATTTTTTTATAACTCTGTTTGAGTGAATCGAGTTTTCTCTTTATTTTTTTTAGTATTCTTAAGTTTAATTTGAGGTGTTTCACAACAATTTTGATAATTCTTTTTTTTTTTTGCAGGTTGATTGGATTGGTCAGAAGAACCAGATAGATGCTGGTTTGTATTCATTTCTTTGAGTTTTGTTTTTGTATGTGTGTTTATAGCAAAAGTGTTGATGATGATCTCTGTCTTTCTTGAAAACAGCTAAGGCTGCAGGAGTTAAACAGATTGTTTTGGTTGGCTCGATGGGAGGAACAAACATTAACCACCCCTTGAATAGTATTGGCAATGCCAACATTCTGGTGATCTCTCTCTTTCTCTGCTTTCTTGACCCGAGAAAATGAGTTTCACAGTCATAATCTTTAAGCAATCATTCTGCAAATTTCATAGGTTTGGAAGAGGAAAGCAGAGCAGTACTTGGCTGATTCCGGGATTCCATACACCATCATCAGGTACATTTTTGAAGCTAAGATATGATTCAGATTGCAGTGGTGGAATCTCATTCTAGAATGTTGCTTGTGAAATCTAGGGCGGGTGGTTTGCAGGACAAGGAAGGTGGCATTAGAGAATTACTTGTGGGAAAAGATGATGAGCTTCTTGAGACTGAAACAAGAACAATCGCAAGGTCTGATGTTGCTGAAGTCTGCGTTCAGGCGTTGCAGCTTGAGGAGGCGAAATTCAAAGCACTTGATCTGGCTTCAAAGCCTGAAGGAACAGGCACTCGAACAAAGGACTTCAAGGCGCTTTTCACTCAAGTAACCACTCGGTTCTGATCTTCTGTTTAGAGTTTTTTTTCTCTCTTTGTCATTGTAGCAGAGTGGTAGGACTAGACAGTAAGCGGAATGAGTTCTTTGTGTGTGTCTGAACCGGCTTATTCTATATCTCAAGAGGTCTTGCCCGAGATTCTAAGTAACATCAAAAGCCTTTGATATATATTTAGAAATCATCAAAAGCCGAAAATAGCAACGAGGGACCCTTACTAATAACCTAGGAGCTAAGATTCCAAGCTGACGAGTCTTCCAGAAATAATATAGCAGATATTCTACCACAAGGTCAAGCCTTAGACTCTAGTTTCCAAACAGAACGAGCCATGATGGTTCTTCCCTTCCAGCCTTGCAAGAGCCATCTCGTCTCCCTTACAGATAGTTTACTACTCTCTTCTTCCACAACCATCTCGTCTCGGTTAGGGCTTTAAATTGCAAGTAGTACACATTTAATGAGATCTTACTAGTTTTTCACCAAGTACCATGTACTGAAGTCTTAAACCGTAAGTTATTTGCGGAATTTAAAATTCTCAAAGATTGAATTATTTTTCTTCATTAGTGCAATATTATTTGATTAGGTCAAAGTAGAATTAATCATCACTCATCTTGTAACTGTATATTACCATAAAGTTTTGCATTGCCATCGACTTTTGACCTTTCTCGTCTTTACGATACGATTTCAAAATGTTCACGTGAAAGGCCGGATATATCAACTAGTGGTAGACTGCTAGATAGGTGAAACATGTAATACATCTTAGCAAAATACCCAAACAAACTTCTTCTACATTGATTGCATATGATCTCTAATAACTACAAGATTGGATTGATATTTACATCACTAGGGTAGAGATAGCTTTAAATGATTCAGCACTCTTTCGAGCAATCAAGACACGAAGAGATTAGCCAACGTATAACACAACATTGTGGTTAATCTATAAGATCTATAAGGTCAATTTTATTCTTATTTTGCAATAGCGGATGTCATGAATTGAAAGGTCTTTCTTTGTGTATCTATGTTTGTGAACTCGGTTACTAGCTGATCTAGTAATTGAAAGATTTACAATTTTTCCGTCCAGCTATTATCTAGAGTTACTAGCTGATCTAATAATGCGTTTTCTCTTACATTTTATATAGATAAATTTATTTGAGTTATATAGCCTTCCAAATCTATATACCTACACTTTTTTTTTTACTTTTCGATTTCAGCATATCACGTCGTAGTTCTGAAAAAACAAAAGGTGTACTATTTTTGGAGCGTACTCGAACCCACATGGAAAAATGGAAGTTCAAATGGAAACTAGCGACCTCAATTATTGTAAACAGTAACACAGAGCTGCTCTAAAATCATCTATTCAGAGACTTAAACTTACAGCTCACATGGGAAAATATAAGTTTGTAACAGTTATATATCTCATAGACAATCCCACATGCTCATGTAACACGATAATTCAAGAAGCATGGCATTCAATCTTTGCGGCCCTATCTCATAAATTTAATACTTTATTATGTTCAGAAAGAAACATAAATAAACAATATATATTTGCTGCAAACCTAATATATTATTATGTCTACCTCTCCTACCCACATGCTCTTAATGTGAAGCTCTATTAGTTTGGCTCATTTATAAGATATGTTCAACAGCAAAATACAGGAAACATCCATTCATGTATATTAACCCGCGGTGCGTCTAATTAAATAAACTACAAACATGCGTGCATGCGTAGATAATGTGTACATAAAAGCACAACCTATCAGCTATGTTATGTGAAAAAGAACAAACAAAATAACAAATCGAGAAAACTATACGTGACTGTGTTGGGCATTCGTTTTCAGTTTTCAAACTAGTATATATACCGCCTAGATTTTCAAATATTTGTTTAGATTTGGTTGAATTCTGGACAAGTGAAAACTTAAAATATAACTATTTCGATAAGGAAATATATTTTAAATTATTCCAATTAGGTATATGAGTTTGGTATTCAATTCCAATTTATTGTATTTAATTTTGGTTAGTTATTTGTTACGAAGACAGTTGATCACCGCTTGGTTTAGAAGATACATATTGAATCGGTTAAGTCTCAGTAGTTCGGTTTGGTTTTGATGGAACTGCCCCATAAAACCAACGAAATGGGCAGCATTTACTTTATGACCCTGTAAATCTTGAAAACTACAAAAAATTACCCAAAATTTATTGTAAGATGAAAAGATCCAACCAGCATCAGTCCCAATAAATACCATTGGACCTTCCCGCTTTCTCTCAGCCATATCCAATACACACTCTCTATACCTCTCTCTCTCTCTCTTACTATCCCAATGGCGGCGACTGCGTTTAGGATCCGCTTCATGTGGTTGGCCGTTACGGTTTCCTTTATGTTAACCGTTACAAACGCCAAAATTCCCGGCGTTTATACCGGTGGACCGTGGCAGAACGCACACGCCACCTTCTACGGAGGCAGTGACGCTTCAGGCACCATGGGTATTATTCACTCTTAACCTTTTACTAAACTCACCATTATCATTTTCGTTAAATATGTACATAAACCATTAAAAATTGATCCCTAACTTTGATTTTTTTTATTCTCTGTTTTTGTGTTTGGGCGTGGTGTTATAAAAGGTGGTGCGTGTGGGTACGGGAACTTATACAGCCAAGGATACGGTGTGAACACGGCGGCTCTAAGCACTGCACTGTTCAACAACGGTTTCAGCTGTGGCGCTTGCTTCGAGCTTAAATGTACAGATGACCCGAGGTGGTGTGTCCCCGGGAATCCATCGATTTTTGTGACGGCTACGAATTTTTGTCCACCGAATTTTGCGCAGCCTAGTGACGACGGTGGATGGTGCAATCCGCCGCGAGAGCACTTTGACCTGGCCATGCCGATGTTCCTTAAGATTGGTCTGTACCGAGCCGGCATTGTCCCCGTCTCCTATCGCAGGTATCTCTCTCTACTTCTTGTCGGTACCGTTAGGGTTTTGTCGGCTTCCGTAATTGTTAGGGACTCAATAAGAATTTAGATTAAAAAGTAAAAAATAATATAAAAGCGTAAACAGAAATTACGGCATTTAAATATTTTTCAGAAGATAGTTAGAAGATAAATCGTGTGTTTATTATGGTTATGGAGTATTACGTAATATCCTCAATCGGAAAATGCATATAATAACGTTGAAAAATCGTTATTATAAAACCAGAAAACCATATTTAAAATATATATATATATATACGTAACATGCTATTATCCATGTGTTTGTTTTCCTCTAGGCTTATGTCACTTCTGCGGCTAGTAAAGTAAAACCAGAAAACCATATTTAAATAAAATAAATATACGTAACATGCTATTATCCATGTGATTGTTTTCCTCTCTAGGCTTAAGTCACTTCTGGTAACGGCTTTACTAGATTTGTTTTCAGACTTCAGAAACTGAGAAAGTCACTCTCACAGTTTTATTTTCTTGCTATAAACAAATTTAATAGTATATATTGATTATAAAATAAAATTTATTTGTATTACTTTTGTTATCTTTTCGGGAAAACAAGCAGCACATGTGTACACAGTAACCTAGAGATCCATCTATCTCTTTCTTCTCTTGTCTTGTTGTTAATAATCTTGTCTGAATCTGTCCTGTTCCTCATCAGGGTACCTTGTCGGAAGCTAGGAGGGATAAGATTCACAATAAACGGTTTCAGATACTTCAACCTCGTTTTGATAACCAATGTCGCCGGTGCTGGAGATATTAATGGAGTGAGCGTGAAAGGATCAAATACTGATTGGGTGAGGATGAGTCGGAACTGGGGACAGAACTGGCAGTCCAACGCTGTCCTCATCGGCCAAGCTCTCTCATTCCGAGTCACCGCCTCTGATCGCCGTTCCTCCACTTCTAGGAACGTTGCTCCTCCCTCGTGGCAGTTTGGCCAGACCTTCTCTGGCAAGAACTTTCGAGTCTGAACCCAAAAGATCAAGTTTACTTGCAACAATACTCATATGCTATTTAAGTTTTTTTTTGTATGAGAGACAAAGAAAAAAGTATCATCAGACATTTTCCAGCCCTGGGTTTTCTCTTAATTTCATGGGAAAATTCTAGTGGCTCCGGGAAATATTTCCCTTTTAATGTTTGCGATTACGAGTGATTTGGTTTGTTTTTTGTTTATTTTTCTTTTATTGTTTCGTTGGAGGCATTTTCTGCTAATAAGCCAAAGAGTTTTTGTTCTTTCTTCGTTTTCCGTGATAAATTAGAGAGTCAAGAAGAGGTAGAAATATTCTATGTTCGAGACGGATGGACCGTGATCTACTCAACCAACTATGTAATGGGCCACTGGGCTAGGTTTATGTTCGAAAATTCTATGATCTATTAGAACATAAATGAAACTCGATTTCAAAACCAGTTTGCGACTAATGCGAGCATGTGACCGCGTGCTTAGAGTAAATCTAATTGGCTGTAATTTTTCTATCCCAAACAAGTGGTTGATTGGTTATGGAGACAAGAGGTAAGAAAGTCCTTTATGTTGGAATGTACTATCATGTGAACAGAGATGAAATTTTATAGAAGCATTTGGAATTCTGCGAGGTTATATAGCCAAAGCCAATGCATACTTTACGTGATTGACTGATTTGCTTGTGATTTAATAAGTGCATGTTGATGTGGTAGATGCTACGCTTTAATTTTACAGTTATTCTTGTTTACTGTTTAGCATTTCTTCTTGTTGTCTAACCATCAGAATGATGCAAATTCGTTGAATGTTTCAGTATCTAGTTGTGGCAAGCTGCGAAGCTCAAGCTAGTAGTCGAGAAAACTTTAAAAATATATACAGTTAAGTATGGTTTTTTATGGTATTGCGAAATATTATCTATGTTTCACAATTATATAAATGTTTTATCATAAAGCACATATATTAAAATTATATTTTACAATATCGTTAAAATGTAAACTAAAATCAACTTATTTAATTACAAATTGAAAACAATAAAATTTAATTGATTAAACAGTTTCAAAATAAATTAATATTACGTTAAAATATATATTGTGAAACAAAAATAAAAAGTTTAAAACATTTCACATATTGAAACGAACAAGTTTTTTTTTTTTGCTAATCTGATTCTGAAGCGAATATGTTTTACAAGAATAGGACAGTGTGTGTGTTTTCTGTAAACTTACGTTAAAAAAAAAATCCTTTATATGAATTCTTAGATGACATGAATCCAGCAGACGGGGAAAATAACCAATGATTGTCAGCAATCCAAAGAAATTACAATTATTGAGGTAGTCTCATCAGACAAGCCGTATAGAAATTGACGCACGTGTTTTATAGGATGTTCAAACTGGTGTAGTAGAAGTGTCATACGGTAGTATAATCAATTATCATATGATTTGATGGTGATAGTGAAATTAAGTGCCAATAAATTCATAGATTATTACATTGTCAAGGGTTTTAAATGCGGAAAATGGTTTTGATTTAGCGAGAAAGTTGATATATATTCTTCTAATATAAAAAGTAATTGAGCTTCGAACCGTCACAAAGAGCATATATTAGACGTACTTTTCTTATAAGTTACATAGAGAATAATTTTTATCCACATGAAACGGGTTTTGTCTACCTACCATGTTCTTAATCTTCCAATAATTCATAGCAAACACACACAAGATTATTTGAAACGTTCTCAAATGCACTTCATGATATAATAAGTTTAGATCTCTATGATCATAGCTTGAATATCCACACCTACCGTACATATCTTCTATCAATATTACAAACACTGAAGACAAATTTTGTTTTTTCATCCCATTTCCCTGAAACAAAGGAATGAATCCAAGTGGAAATATTATTTTTGTCATAGTTAAAAGAAGTTGTATAGAAAAGGTATCATAAATAGTAAAAAGAGAAATAAAAGAAAAATACAGACAAAAAAAGCCGTAAGTAATGGAGCACATATGGTAAAAGGTAAGAAGTGGCAGAGGGAAGATCAGAGAAAGGATCTGCCTCAATTTGACAACTCATATGTCATGTCATTGCCCTCACAACCTTTTTTTTTTTTTCATAAATACTTTTCTCTGCTTCCATCAGAAGTAACCTTTTCGTATTTACTGTCTTTGCTCTGTTTCACATTCTATTTTTTTTTGTAACAATCCTTTTTATTGGGGTTTTTAGTAATAAAACCCCCCAACTAAAGATGAATCGTAAAAAAAACTCTCAACTAAAGATTTAGTGAAAAAACCCCTCAATTTTAGTTCGGTTAATGTTTGTCACCCTCCGTCACGGAATTTTAGACGGAGGGTGACATATGTTAACAGAACTAAAGTTGAGGGTTTATTTCACTAAATCTTTAGTTGAGGATTTTTGTTACGATCCATCTTTAGTTGAGGGGTTTTATTACTAAATGCGGTTAAATATTTTAAAACCTTTGTTATCAATTATTTATTATTTAATAATCTTACAATTGATCTATAAACATTGAAAATAATTTATAATTTTTTATATATTACTTTATCAAATTTTTAACCTATTAATCAATTGTTTAAACCATTTCAATTTGATTCGTATTTTTTTCTGTTTCGGAAGAAATAATGTAGGATTATTTTTATTCTTTTTAATTTCTGAACCAGTATGTTGTACTCCTAACATATTAATCAATAAGTTTTTCTTGTTTTATTTATTTACTTCATGTTTTTATAGTATGACGAATAATCACATCTTTAATCTTATAAAATCATCACTAAACTTTAATAATAATTTATAAAAGTATTAAATGAGAAAACTTTATAAATAGGTTATAAATTGATAAAGTAATATATAAAAACTATAAATTATTTTCAATGTTTATAAATCAATTTTAAGATTCTTAAATAATGAATAAATGATAATAAAGATTTTAAAATATTTAACCACATTTAGTAATAAAACCCCTCAACTAAAGATAGATCGTAATAAAAACCCTCAACTAAAGATTTAATGAAATAAACCCTCAACTATAGTTCTGTTAACATCTGTCACCCTCCGTCTGAAATTCCGTGACGGAGGGTGACAAACATTAACGGAACTAAAGTTGAGGGTTTATTTAACTAAATCTTTAGTTGAGGGTTTTTTTTACGATTCATCTTTAGTTGAGGGGTTTTATTACTAAAATCCCTTTTTATTGATACTTTCCCTAAACTTATGTTAGGATAGGATCATCATCATCGGTTGTTCAAAAAAGGATAGGATCATCATTGTTAGAAATGGGCATGAAATATTATGAAGTAGGGACTTAAACTTCAATTTACAAGTTGAGCAACACATTTGGTCTAGTATTATGTGCCAGTGCTGTTATTTCCTCACAGAGTTACAGTTAGTAATGGCCACTACTCTGCATGATAGAAGCTAACGCAACGCAACGCAACGGATTAGTTCGTCTGTGAAGGAGAACTTTTCTACGTTCAGTATTCACAAGTTGTTATCTTCATTTGTGCACACTGCACACAGAATAAAATAGTATATAAGACGTCTACACAAATAAAACAAAGCTTGAAAGGAAATACGGAAACAATTTTTTATGAAATAATTCGACTCGAGTACAAATGTTTGCCGATATTTGGATTATGTTGGTACCAAAAAGTTCGTGTCGGTTATGGATATTGTAGGAATCGATATTAAATAATGAGTTACCGTGATTTGGAATCGTTTACCCAAGTTATGTTTACTGCATCAACTATGGTGAATTAACTGTGTTGTATTTACGTGTATTGTATCAGTTGTCAAAAGTTGTGTTAATGTATCTCCAACAATGACACTAAATTTGTGCGTTGTATCAGTTGTCAAAAGTTGTGTTAATGCATCTCTAGCAATGATACTAAATTTGATGTTAAAACTACACTAAATTTGATGTTTTAGTGTTATAATTTTTTTGCCAACTCTAATAATAATACCACTAAAAACAATAATATATACTCCTTCCGTTTCAATTTATTTGTCATTCTAGGTTTTTACACACAGATTAAAGTAACATTTAATTTTACACATTTTTCAATATAAAAACACAATTACTAATACACCTAACCACTTTTCAACCAATAGAAAAATAAAATATCATATAAACCTAATAAATTCTGTCTCGAAACTCTAAAACAACATTTATTTTGAAACAAAAATTTTTCTCTAGAATGACATCTAATTCAAAACGGAGGGAATATTATTTAATGTTTACAGTTTTAAAATTTTCCTATTTTTATTATTTCTAATTGATAAATAATTATTTTAGCACATTTAGATTATTATTTGTATGTGATAATTGATAATGGTCATTTAGTGATTTATTTTGAAACTTAAGTCTAAAATTATTTATTTTTTTGTTGTGTAAAAGAAAAATTAACAATACAAATAATAATATAATTATATTTAATTACAAACTTGATATCAATTAAACTATATTATGATGAATTTGATATGATGAAATAGTATTACACCAAACTAATTTGTGAAATGGTATTAATTTTGATATTTTGTTAGAGATAAAAGTACACCAACTTATATATTTTGGTGTCTTGTTTGAGATAACCTTAGTTTACGAGAATTTAAACATACGAATCTAATTTCACTAGAGTTTTATATGTGTTTTATGTTCTCCTAAGCTAATAAAGTTTTGAAAATGGCACCGATAATAAAATATATCTTCGTCCATAGACGTAACAGAGTTGGTAAACAACATTACATTTTTGTATCGTTTATTTTTGTTTATATATTTGTTTCGGCATTTGTTCTTAACAAGAGATTATAATCATGTATTCATCATAACAGCGAACCGTGAAATAAGTCGAAAATAAAATTACCAATTTGAAATATGTGATAAATCATAGATCTCATTATATCCAACTGAAAACATGCCTAATCCCATTTACAAAAAACATTCCTAACTTGAACTTAAATAACGAAAAAATCTAAATCATTTTCAATATAAACTATAATAATAGAAAAACAAACGGTCAAGTAATTTATAGACATCTACGTAGTATTTTTTCAAACTCGGGGAGGATAAAAATCAGATTTCCCACCGTTGATCCAGCTGATTATACATAGCAGCCCCATCCAAGGCCCACCCCTAGGCCCTCCCATGATGGCTGTTTTCTTGTCTGACTAAAGTCACTAAACTCACACTACCGCGTTATTTATTGTACATTCTTTTGATAATCATTTATTTTCTTACAAGATTGGCTGCTATCACAAAGCAATTCAAATCAGAAAAACAGCCAATGTAGTAGATTTGTTTGATTCTTTAACCGATCTTATCATTTTGAAATTTTCAATTTATGTTCTTCGATTTTTAACCTTTAAGCAAAAGAAAAAAAAAGATGTAACCTTGAAAAAACAAAACAACAGATCTCTCAAAACCATTTTAGTAGTTAACATTCTAATTATGTGGAAACAACTTGTAATGTCTGAAAGACTAAAAAGTCTGCATGAAGAAACGTAACAATAGAAAATGCATCCCGTTGCAAAACTTTTTTAAAACAAAAAACAAAAAAAATTAGAATAAGAGATGCATTGACTTAATAATGATGTCTATGTTACATCTCTCACGAAATTCCTCATTATTACAATACAACTCTGAATTTTCCAATGCATTATTAGTATTACACTATTACTGTTACAATAATGGTTCTTGTCAATAAAAGTTTACAGTAAGAGCATGGGAACATCACATGTAAGATGTGTACATGTATGTGGTTGGCTGGTTGCCTAATTTGTATAAGCTAAGAAATTTGGGGGTGCTAAAGAGTGACTTGAGTCAATCATAAAAGAGTGAAAGTTTTGTCTGCCTGATAATAGCTTTGAGAGATTCTAATATACGCTTGAGAGGTTTGGTGCATGGTAGCAAAGCAAGTAGTAGTGAGTAGTGGTAGTCGGATGTGATGGAACAAAGAAAGGATTGTTTGGTAGGGTTATGGAGTGCGAAAGCGAGAGTGGAGGAGGGACCATTACCCTTTACATACTTTCCCAAAAGATACCGTTCTCAGAACGTGTCCTACTCAACCACAATTACTCAGACGTCCAACCCTGTTTATTAACCAACAAACTCAAAAAGTGTAAGTTGTTTAAAAGGTGAAAAGAGTAAATTATAACTAATCCTTATTCTTAATTAATCCTTAAAAAAACTTAATTGAGAGGCATCTTCATTGTATTATCTCGTCAACATTTTTTAAGAAGTAGATTTATAGACTAGCAAGACTGTAAAAACTCTTAGGTTTTAATATTTAGAACCTTTTACAAATGTAATATATATTAAGCTTAACGATACAGTTTAGAAAAAAATATGTTATATATATATACATATATATATATATATATCTAATACTTATAAGTTTTGAACTTTTGTTGGTCATTACATAAAATTTGAGAAACTGAATCTAAATTGTACTTCCAAAATGCGTTTATTATAAAAATATACATATGCTCAATATATCCTCTTTAATTTTTTTCTTTTTGCAAAACTTAAAATAATTGGAATTCTGTAGAGAATTCAAATTAACAAAATTTTAAAGAAGACAATCAAAATGGACTTTGGATACTATAAAGTATCCGAGAAACAAAGTGAGAAATTGTAACGCTTTATGGGCTGAAAATGTAAAATTTAGTGGTGAAATGATTGAAGGTTGACTTAAAAAGTGGATTGGAGTCTTGAAAACAAAGATAGAAAACTTTGAGAATAGTTATAATTGATGTGAAATAATGTCTAAAAGCAAAAGAAAACATGATTGTTTTTATGGGTGAATAAAATGTCATTTTTATAGATTTTACCTTTGCTGGAGTCGAATTCGAGTGATGAGAAATTGTAAACATCATCGAAACTGGATGGTCATGGTAAATACGGTTCAAACCATTTATATGTTTTTATCTACCTTTTTTATATGTTATGCTAATTTCTTGACAAACTATTACAAGTTTGTAACGAACAAAAAACTATTACAAGTTGTACTACCAACAAATTTGACGCTAGGAAGCTTGGGAAAACTCCTAAAAAAGAAAAAACTAAAGAGTATTTTTGGTTATTTATAGATAAATATATAGTTTGAATATAAAATATTCAAACCAAATAACCAGACCCGCTTCAGATATATTGATTATTTAATTATTTTTCAGACTTCTATATATTAGAACCGAATCCACCCGGATTCAGAAGGAACCGGTTGGAATCCAACCTGAAAATGGATAATATCCGAATGGATTATGAATTTAAAATCCGAAAATTTGATATCCGAAAAAACCGATCCATACCCGAATGCCTAGACCTACACTTAGGTGACATTTTGTGTGAAGTTCCATCTCCGGTCCCAAATTTAGCAGTATAGTCACATTATCAAATTTTAAAGAGTTAAGAGCATTTCCAATGTATAAAAAAAAAATCTTTTAAAATGGAATAAAAGTGATTATGGAGTAAAATGCTCAAACCTCACTCTATTTCAAACTCAATAATGGAATAGTGAAGAAAAAAATAGATTATTTCATTTATGGTGTAAATTTCATTATGGAATAAGAAATGAAGTAGGGTTGGAACATTTTTTACTCAATAATTACTTTTATTTCATTTTAAAGTAAAAAATGGAGTTAGATTGGAAATGTCCTAAAACAACATATCATTGTTATCTATCCGATTATTTAAGTAATTATAGCAGTCTATATTCAAAAACCAACCTATAAAATTGTATTAATCAAAAAAAATTTTGTATTAATCTAATAACATATAGTTTTTTTTCTAAACTAAGTGAGGGTAAAAATAGATTATATGTATGATGTCAACATAATTATACTGTATTTTACTAAGAAATCATTTTGACTTACGAAATGGTTTATAGATGTGCTATCACAGGAAACATGTCTGCATCATTGTCGGAAAACTCTTAATTTGGTAAAGTAATTCTAGTAATTAATAAATTCACAGAAAAACAAATACAAACAAAATAATATGCGGAATTGATATGTGAGTTATTATTTTTTAATTTTTCACAGTGCTACTATAAAATAAATTTGAGATCCCCATGTGAGTGAAAAAAAAAATAAAGATTCATCCCAACGTAAAATAAAATAAATAAGATGTTTAAAAACAAAAATTTGCAAACGAACTTACGGAAATACAAATTTTACCTCCACACACGCCACTGTCAGAGATTTTTCCCACCATTTATGCGTAAAAAGTAAAAAAAGTCAGTGTCGCAGTCGGTAAAAGCTTTTTCTCATTTTTATTTTTTTTTTAGATTTTTTTTTGTTGTCCCTGTAGTCTAATCGTGTACGTTGTCTGTTTTTTTTTTTTTTTTGAAACTACTTTGTCTGGTTTTTAAAGCCTCTCTCTTTGATCTCTTTGTATTTCTCTTCCACATTTACGCCGACGAAGTTAGATATAATAACATCTATTGATGGAAGAAGCTGTTCTTGACTTTGTAATTTTTCTTTTCAAGATTATTTGGTGAGCATTTCTCGAATTTAACATCTTCCTTCACTCTCTTATCTTATCTTAACAGTCACAGTGTGTGCTAATAGTGTTTTGAGGTCAACATTAACTCCCCTGTTTTGTATAGTCATGAGATTAAGAGATCATTGCAAAAGTCTTGCTTATATCATTCTCTCATTTCTTCGATGATTCTTGAAGTGTGAATTGGTGTTTTAAGTGTCAGATCTCTCTGTTTTTTAAAAGACTGTAGTTTAGTTGCTCTGTTTTTAAAAGACTGTAGATTGGTTACTCTGTTTTGGTTCCTCTGTTTTTTGGGTCTTTAAAAGTTTTAACTTTTCCAGAGAATTTGACGCAGATGAAGAAGGGATGGTGGTGAGATGGGAAGGAGTGATGTCACGAGGATCAGGAGATGAAGGAGAGGCAACGTTGGAGTGGTGAAGAAGATGCATTACTACGCGCCTACGTGAGACAGTTCGGTCCTAGAGAATGGCATCTCGTCTCTGAGCGTATGAACAAACCTCTAAACCGTGACGCCAAGTCCTGTCTCGAACGATGGAAGAACTATCTTAAGCCAGGGATCAAGAAAGGGTCTTTAACAGAGGAAGAACAGAGGCTTGTGATCCGTTTACAGGAGAAACACGGCAACAAGTGGAAGAAGATAGCCGCGGAGGTTCCAGGGAGGACGGCGAAACGGTTAGGGAAGTGGTGGGAAGTGTTTAAGGAGAAGCAGCAGAGAGAAGAGAAAGAGAGTCACAAGAGAGTTGAGCCTATAGACGAGAGTAAGTACGATAGGATTCTCGAGAGTTTCGCTGAGAAGCTTGTGAAAGAGAGGTCTAACAACGTTGGCTCTGTTTCCGTCTCTGTTCCTGCGGTTATGGCTAGTTCAAACGGAGGGTTTCAACAATCTCCTCCTCCTTCTAATAATCATGTCATCCCGCCTTGGTTAGCTACTTCTAACAATGGGAGCAATGTTGTTGTAAGACCTCCCTCGGTGACTCTTTCTCTATCGCCTTCTGTGGCTGCAACACCGCCTCAACCGCCTATCCCGTGGCTGCAGCCTGAGAGAGGAGGAGAGACCAGCCCGGGAGGTCTTGTGTTAGGGAGTATGATACCTTCTTGTAGCGGTAGTAATGAGAGTGTGTTTATGTCAGAGCTTGTGGAGTGTTGTAGAGAGTTGGAGGAAGGGCATAGAGTTTGGACAGAGCATAAGAAAGAAGCGGCTTGGAGGCTTAGGAGACTGGAGCTGCAGCTAGAGTCAGAGAAGACGAGTAGACAAAGGGAGAAGACAGAAGAGATTGAGGCAAAGATGAATGCTCTGAGGGAAGAGCAGAAGATAGCAATGGAGAAGATTGAGGGAGAGTATAGAGAACAGCTTGTGGGTTTGAGGAGAGAAGCTGAGGCCAAGGACCAGAAACTAGCTGATCAATGGACATCTAAGCATATTAGACTCACTAAGTTTGTTGAACAACACATGAGTTGCAGGCAGAGACTATTAGACCGGCCATGAATCCTAAACCAAACCCATCAAATATCTTTTATGATCTCTTCTCCTTTATGTTTTGTAATGTAATATAAGTTTTTTTTGTTTTTGTTTTCTTTTTTCATTATTTGGTGTCTCTAATCAGACTTTTGTGTTCCTTAACTCAGTTTTTATTGTATGTGTTGGTTTCTCTTCTTTAATCATTTGGTATCTCCAATTTTTTTCTTTCTAAAGCTTGGTGTTGAATGTAAGTAGTCAATGCCTTACAGCTGCAAAACTTTACATAGTTCACAACTTGAACTGATAAAACTGTTGGAAAGATAAAACAGAGATTGTCCCAAAAAAAAATATAGATAAAAACAGAGAGCACATGAAACACATTGCTCTATAATAGTTAAAGAGAAAGATGTGTCCTTAATCATTATTAACTCAAAAGACAGTTGAACTCAATAAGATGAATAAAAAAAGAACAAAAGCAAGGAGTAACTCCACTTCTTGTCTGAAAACAAATGATGAACTTCATACTTAGAAGCACTTCCTGTGAACAATAGACGGGCCTGACTCGTCATACTCCGCCTTAGCAATCCACATCTGCACAATTCAAAACAAAAGTTCATGGTTAACTTGGTTTAGTCTCAAGCTGAATGCTAACCAGAAACAGATGGGACTGTTGTGTACCTGCTGGAAGGTACTGAGTGAAGCCAAGATGGACCCTCCAATCCAGACAGAGTATTTCCTCTCAGGAGGTGCAACAACTTTGATCTTCATGCTGCTTGGAGCCAAAGCAGTGATCTCCTTACTCATTCTATCAGCAATTCCAGGGAACATAGTGGTTCCACCACTAAGCACAATGTTACCATACAAGTCCTTTCTGATGTCGACATCACACTTCATGATGGAGTTGTATGTTGTTTCATGGATACCTGGATTCTCCATACCAATCATAGACGGCTGGTAAAGAACCTCAGGGCAACGGAACCGTTCAGCACCGATGGTGATCACTTGTCCATCAGGCATCTCATAGTTCTTCTCAACAGATGAGCTTGTTTTGGATGTCTCTAGCTCCTGCTCGTAGTCAAGAGCAATGTAGCAGAGCTTCTCCTTTATGTCTCTGACGATCTCACGCTCTGCTGTGGTGGTGAAAGAGTAGCCACGCTCGGTTAAGATCTTCATGAACGCATCGGTGAGGTCACGACCAGCGAGATCAAGACGTAGGATGGCATGTGGAAGTGCATAACCCTCGTAGATAGGAACCGTGTGGCTCACACCATCTCCTGAGTCAAGCACAATACCTATACACACACCATAATAATCCGAAAAGGTTTAACGATTAGTGCCGTCCCGGTATATTTAGTGGCCTAAAGCATATTTATCTATAATGGTGGCATATTTATATAAAAGTGTTTTTATTTTTGTAAACATATATATATATATATAAACAAAATATATAATTTCTCTATATAAGTGAATATCTGTGTTAAAATTCTAAATAATTGATTTTTCTCTATAATGTTTAGTTTCTGCCAATAACTAAAATTTTAAATTATTTTTATTAACTTCAAGCAATACAAAAAAAACGTGATGGAAAACAAAAACTAAAAATATCAATCATCAAAATCAAAAGAAAACACACATATCACAATAAATAAAAATATTTTTTATCAAAAATAAAATATTTATATAAAAGTGTTTTTATTTTTGTAAACAAATATATATATATATAAACAAAATATATAATTTCTTTATATAAGTGAATATCTGTCTTAAAATCCTAAATAAATATTAGTTGATTTTTCTCTATAATGTTTAGTTTCTGCCAATAACTAAAAGTTTAAATTATTTTTATTAACTTCAAGCAACACACAATAAAAAACGTGATGGAAAACAAAAACTAAAAATATCAAAAACAAAAGAAAACACACATATTTAGTCAAAGAAAACACACATAACACAATAAATATAAACAATTTTTTTTTGTCAAAAATAAAAACAAAATCATATTGAATTTTCAATACAAACCACTACAGTAGTGGAAAATACAAGATTCGAATTCACATTAAGAAGTTAAAAATGATGTTTTCTAACCATGACTATAATCATCTTTTAAAGTGTGGCCTCAAAAATTACAAATTAATTGGTGGCTTAGCTTCATGTGCTTTATTAGAGTGAGTGCCTGATAAAACCGATCCTGAGATTTTGGTGGTTATAATGTAAAAGTTTCAATAAATAAAATATAATTTTTATAAATTTAGATGCCTATATTTATTTTAATTTTTGGTGACGATAAATCAACATTTCATTTGTCTATGCTTTTGAAGGAGACAAAAGAGTAAGTCACTGACCGGTTGTACGACCACTGGCGTAAAGGGAAAGCACAGCTTGAATAGCCACGTACATAGCAGGGGCATTGAAGGTCTCAAACATGATTTGAGTCATCTTCTCACGGTTAGCTTTAGGGTTGAGAGGTGCTTCAGTTAGTAGAACAGGATGCTCCTCGGGTGCAACACGGAGCTCATTGTAGAAAGTGTGATGCCAAATCTTCTCCATGTCATCCCAGTTGTTGACAATACCGTGTTCAATAGGGTACTTGAGAGTTAGAATACCACGTTTGGATTGAGCTTCATCACCAACGTAAGCATCCTTTTGTCCCATACCAACCATCACACCGGTGTGACGTGGACGACCAACAATGCTGGGGAACACAGCTCGAGGTGCATCATCCCCAGCAAAACCAGCCTAGTTCCAATACATAAACATGATCTTAGAGAGAGACCAAATGATACATTCAAATATATCAAAGAATGATATACCTTAACCATTCCAGTTCCATTGTCGCAAACAAGAGGTTGAATGTCTTCACCGTCAGCCATTTTTTGCTACCTTTCTGAAAACCGAAAAGATTTAGATTTTGAAGGAGGTGAAGAGAGAAACTAATGGAAGGAGGAGCGTAAATGAGGCAAATAAGAAAGAATGGAACTGAAACGGGTCCAAAGGCTTCGATTTCGGCTCACCTTGTTTTCCATTTATCAACTTATTACTTTTTCAACGGTAAATGTACGTATGAGTTTCAGATTGGTTTTAGTTTAAATATAGGTTTTAAAGTTTTTCTTTTGTTTTTATATATTTGATATCCAAGAATAAAATTTAATCAAATACGCTAAGATTGGTAACTGAGTATGACTGGAATTCGAGTTTTGTTTTAACTTTTGAAAGAAATTTTGATTTTAGATTGGTTTTAATTTGATGGCATAGAATCCATGCAGTGCATTCAAGAAGATTCAATTAGTTTTTTTTCTTTTCTTTTTTCTTTTTTTTCTTCTGATAATCAGTTTAGCCATTGTACCTATATGTTTCCCAATATAAATCCTTTTTTTTTTTTCAGTTAGCTCAAAGTAAAAGGAAAATAGTAATTACAATTTCAAGGTCTATAATTTCCTTGTGTGTATGTGTTTTTATTTTCTAATTCTTGAATTGATAATAGGTTATGTCTCAATTCCATATTTTGTTGTTTAATATACTTTTCGAAAAGCAAATTATGTACGGAAGTATAACTATCGTCGATGGCATCTCGAGTCAATAGGCCATTAACCAAGCTTCAGGATTCTAAGAATATTTAATCATACAAGAACATTATAATGTTTATATATATCATCATTATATGGAGAAATATGTTATTCTCCTTTTCTTATTAATGTGTTAAGGCATGATATTTTATATTAGCAATGAAAGGAAATACCATAACTTACCAATGCCTACTTAAAAAAAAAAAATAGGAAAGTCAATTCCCTTTCTTTCAATTAATTGTTGTGTTTCCTTTTTTTTATCAATTTTTTCTTCTGAAATTTAACTTTACCACATTCCTATTTTTTTTTCTTGTAATTCAGTATTTATTTTGTTTACATGAGTGTACTTAGCAAGACACTATGTAACATGCATGTTCCTGTATATAAAAGATTACAAACAATAATTGTGAAAGTTGATAGTATAATATGTTACATGAAACAAGATATAAAACAAATTGATACATGTGTATTTATACAGATATGTGTGTATGTGTAATGCTTGCAAGTTTGTAACTTGTAGTAGACTTCTTACTTTTTAGTTACCATTCTAAATTACAAATATGGTTGTACCCGTAGTAATTTTATCATATATATATATATATATGAAAGAGTATCTATTATTTATGTTCTTTAACCTTTTTACTGACAAGAAAAAAGCTTTTTCTATTCTTACCTTTACCAATTTTAAATTACAAACATGAATATAAGTTATCATCTTTATATTATTTAGACAAAATTCGAGCTTAACTAGATAAATAGAAATGAGATAAAGAAAATTAAGTTAATGATGATAAAACCAAATAGATATAGACATTCTTCTCTTTTTCATTTAATTACAATGAAAAGTGTGGCGTTTTTTATTTTTTTTCTTTGAAGGTTTTAATGGATGTTATAACAAAACCCCATTATAGACCAAAAATTTCCAGCGATTTTAGTAGATAAAACGGCTAAAAAATATAATGCTACCAAAAGTATATATTTAGTCAAAATTACATAACAAGTATGTTATTCATTTCCATCATCTCTCTTAAGCACCACACGATTTCTTTACTATGTGAATATTCTAACATTTTTATAATTAGATATGAAAAACGCAAAAAGATTTAAAATTCATGCTCTGCAAATTTGTTTTCTTAACTCTACTTCATATCTGATATAAAATATAGTAGATATTTATATTTACTCAGTTTTTTTTTTTGCAATAACTAATTCCATATCGTTGTGTCATATTATCATATGAAATTTCTTTATTGTTTCATAAATTTTACAAAATATATAAGATATCATCTTATTTAGATATCTGACTACAATGTAGCAAACTATTATATATAAGAATTTATTTCTGTACGCTGAAAGAAGTAGTATTTAGATTGAATAAAAATAATATAGAAAAAAGCTTAAACCATAAAAGTTTAGTAAAAAAAAGAAGCTTAAACCATAAAATTTTATTTCCATAAGAAAAAATTTATATATATGGATATATAACTATAAATTATACTCCACAGTATCAGTTACACAAAAATTACTAACACAATAAGATTAGGTGGTAATAAATAAGAATTAGATACGAAATTAAAGTCTTAACGGCAACAATGCTTTTTTATTTTCAGGAGAATAAAAGAAGAATGCAAAAAGCGCACATGGAGTTTGGAAACGTAAAGGCAGACGTCAAGTTTGGTGCTTAACTTGCGAGAAGCAGAAAGGCATCGGCCATACTTTTATTAATTTATCGCCTGAGATAATAAACGATAAATTATATAGTAACGGTGATACTTCTGAATCAGTAAGAGGATTTCAATACGTTATGTATGCCTTTAGACTCTCCTTGTTGCCACAACCAACCAACAACACACTATAAACTCGCTCCAGTCTCCATCTCTAAACAAACCTGAAAATATGCTAAAGAAAAAAATGGTAATATAAAAGCTGACAGTTTTCCTGATTTATATTCTTTAACCACGTTGGATCTATCTACATCCATCAATCATTTATCCTCTTTCTTCTCATTATCTTCTCTCTCTCAAGAACAATAGTTTTTTTTTTTTTGGGTGCACTTTGTCTTCAGCTTGTCGCGTTTTGTAAATTTATAAGTATGTCAAAGATCACAAGCCTAATGCAAGAAGAGGTAACGTTAGGTGAGGTTTCAGAGACGAGAGAAGACTCATTTTCGGAAAATAATCATGTGTTTGATATTTGTCGGAAAAGAAAGAGATCAGATGAAGAAGAAGAAGAAGAAGAACTTGTGGAGGAAGACAACGACGGGTTCAAAACGCCTACTCGTCCGGAGAATAGAATCCCTGAGGTCAGAGAATGCCCACCTGCGCCAAGGAGACGCAATAGGGAATATTCGAGGATGCAGAGAGGTAATTATACAATGTGGTGCCGTAGACGGTTGAGTTTCTCGCCGGAAAATGCTGTCCGCTCGTTTATAACGGACTTGCAGTGGAGGACAATGACAATGACGATCAAGAAATAATTAGAAGAAAGAGATTTTTACTTTAGTTTTTATGGTTTTGTTATGGCATTATTAGGTCACGTTCGGAAAATATCTGAACGTTTTTTTTTTCTGCAGATAGATAACAAAAAAAATACTTGATTAAACAGGTATTTTGTTTTTAAGAGTTCTTCACTCTCAAATGTAGATTTCTGTTTGGAGTTGATTATTATTTGTGCATTGTTTTTTTTTCTTAGTTTTGTTACTTTTTTATATTAATTAAGGATCTCTAATATGTGTATCTTGTTTTTCTTTGTAGTAGTTTACAATACCATATATAACTGCTCAAATATGTCTTGTTAGCTCAGATTAAGGAAGTGTACACTCAGTTTGCATTAGTCAACGATGAAACAAAACCAGTAACCTTGTGAAAACTGAAGCTACATAACATATTTGTTGACAATATTCAGTCACAATGAACGAAGATGATACTGTAAAGTTAAAGTTATGCCAAACCAAAGTGAAAAAGGAAGAGAAACATGAAGAAGAAGACAGGACGAGATATAGAATTTTATAAACGCTTTAGGGGTCGAGGCCTTATTTAAGTTCCTTCGACTTCTAAAGTTGGAACATCCAATGCTAAAAAAAGGCTATGGCGAGAACACTCAATCATCTCATGTCTTAAGCTTCTTCCTTTTTCTTATGGATCTTCAAAATCTTTTTTTTAATAAACTCTTTTTTGCCCATTCTTTTCTTTTTGTTGCCGTTATGTTCGTTTCGTCTATGTTACTCTCTTCCCTTTATGTGGCTTTCGGTTTTGTTGACCTGTCTCCTAATTTGTTAATTAATTGACCATTTATTTATTAATTTGATTGCAGCTTGAATGAAACGTTATGGTTATTTTATTAGTTAACAAAGAAGAAAGAAATGGGAAAGAGATCTATATCTGCACTTTACCTAATAAATAAATAGAGATTATGGGGAGCTTATAACTAAATATATCAGACTATAAATTTCAGACATATAAATACAAGTTAATGTTGATAAAGTAAAAGAGTAGCCACCCAAGTACCTTAAACTCTTCTTTCTTTGTGTGTTTTATAGCTTACACCTATGCTATTTCTCTGAAATCATAAAACAGATAGAGCTATATGTATTGTATGCACATATATAGCATTTCACTTAAAACTTTGTGACATGCATTTTTAGGCGAGAGAACATTTTTTGACAAGATAGAAAGGGATATTAGAAACTCAAATTTTAAATAGCAAATTTTCGGGTACAGAGTATGTGGGAGTATCATAATCAAGAAGACTTTCATACATAAAAGAACATTGGGACGACGTACATTGATACAAACATTTTTCAATAAAATTCTGCAACCAGTTTCTTATGAAAATGTTGATGATGGAATTTTTGCAGCTGATTAATGACACAATTCGCAAATCAATGGTTACAAGTTTCTCTTAAGACAAATGCTCTAAACTTGGTTACATAGTTACATAATCGAGTGAAGTGTGGAGCGAAATTAATATCAGATGATGTGGTTTGAGTATGGGAATTTCATGGTAAGACAAAAAGGATGTATTGTAGTTGGCTTCATCTGAACTACTTTTTACGAGCTTAAAACACTTGCCTAAAACATGATATTTCCAAATGAATAGGGCTAAAACACTCCCGCATGTCTACAACATGAAGCGGCCCACAAAGAGAACAAATAAACTCGTGTACCCATTTATAATGTGATCTCTATAATATTATTTGAGAAGTCAGTTTCCTACGTGTCGCGCTCACGTTAACTCTCGCGATGGTTGATTACATAGGTACCCTTAATGAATTGTTAGATTTTAAGATTATTATTTTTTTATTTAGTTTTTTTACCTCTTTCCAAATAACCTATATAATAAAAAGGAAATATTTCTAAAATTTTAAAACAAATTTAAAACGAAATATAGGTATATAATATGACTTTATTAAAAAGGAAAGTTCACAAAATAATAATACCCCAATCAATATATATATTTTTAAATAACATAAAAATATATTTTCAAAATAATAAAAATATATATGTTCATGAACATCCAAAAAATTATCAGTTACACTTTATTTTATAATATTTTTAGGAAATCAAAATATAATTTGATAAATATTATGAAAGTACATGTATATTTAAGCGATAGATAAAAATAATTTGATTTAACTTAACTAAAATAAAAAGTAATTTTTTGAACACATATAAAGAGTAAATAAATATTATGAAATACATGTATGTTTAAGCGATAAATAAAAATAAGAACATATAATTTAATAATAATAATAATAATCTATTTAAGTTTATTTATATAAATTAGAGTTTGACTCAAAACCTATTAAAAAGAAAAAAATATTAACCAATTACAATTTAATTCTTTTTAGAATTTATATATATGCATGAGACTTCAAAATATTATCTTTATATTCATTTATGTAATTTTAAATCAAACACTTCACCTTATTATTTATTTCATTTTAAGCACAATATATATTAAGTAATACATAATTTAACTATAATATATTTACATATCAAAGAATATATTTACATATCTAAAGACAATAACCAACCGAAAAAAAGAAAGAAAATTAATCAAATTTTTATTATATTCAGAATAAAAAAATATTATAGCTGAATTCAAAAAATATATATTATCCAATATACCAAATTGATAACCAAACCGACTATTGATCCAAAAAATAATTAAACCGATAATAATATATCCACAGTCATATGTATAATTAGAATAATATAATATTTATTAATATAAATTATACAGATAAATTGATTCAAAACTAAAACTAAATATCAATCAATTATTATAAAAATTTACTTTTATGAATATCTATATCCGTGCATGAGCACGGGAAAAACACCTAGTAAACATATAATTATAGACCGATTAAAAACTTTAGCCTGTCGCTTATCCCGTAGTATGTTAATCTAAAAAGCTCAATAAGCACTTGGGCCCAACATTCTAATAAAATCTAAAAAAGCCCAATAAATACTTAGGCCCACTTTAAAGAAAAACCTAAGGGTTTTTCATTTTGTCGCTGTATATAAATAAATTTGTTCTCCAATTTTTTTTGCAGCGGCTGCTGAGAGAGAAAAATGGCAACACCACAAGTGAAGACTGGTCTGTTCGTTGGTCTGAACAAAGGTCACGTCGTCACCAGACGCGAGTTAGCTCCTCGTCCCAACTCTCGCAAAGGGGTAATCTATCTCTCCATCATCCTCCGCTTTCAGACAAATAGTGTCTTGTCTGAATGATTCGCTTAGTTTTGACTGAATCTATGTTTTGATATTCGTACGGAATATTTAGTTGAGCATATAGATTCATAGTTCTGATAGAATATTATAGTTAGATTCCCACATCGTCTTTGAGAAATGATGTTGTTGTATTGAGCTCTTCGTTTCTGGATCTTTGTAGAAAACGAGCAAGAGGACATTGTTCATCAGATCACTGATCAGAGAGGTTGCTGGATTTGCTCCATACGAGAAGAGAATCACTGAGCTTCTCAAGGTTGGTAAAGACAAGAGAGCTCTTAAGGTTGCTAAGAGGAAGTTGGGTACACACAAGAGAGCCAAGCGAAAGAGAGAGGAGATGTCTAGTGTTCTCCGCAAGATGAGGTATATACACATCCATTGTTGTCCATTTTATTTTTCTTAGTAACAAACAGTGTTACGATTCTCTTTTAAGGACAAAGTTTATTTCGTGACTGAAATAATGTTTACTGAACTTTGCTTTTTTTTTTTTTTGTTGCAGGTCTGGTGGTGAGAAGAAGTAAACATCTTAAAGTCTTCTTCTATGTTATTGGAGCTTTGTTATTTTTATAACTCTTTTTTGTTCGCTCTATGTTCAAAAGACCTTTGTGTTTTGTTAGAAGAATGGATTCATGTTGCTCCACTCTGTTCTATTAAGCTTTTTCAAAACTTATACCAATGTTTTATTACCTTACTTCCCTTCGTTCAAGTTGGCATTATACTCAGTATCCCAAATAACAAACATAATGAGCTTTAAAACGGTTTTACTTTGGGCCTCTCCCGGGAATAGATAGTGTGCTGGTACCTAAGAAGACGTGGACGTTTGTTTTTCTAACGGTTGCTTATAGTGGATCTTCAGAAAATCCAAATATTTATTGGTGAAAACTTCCAAGAAGTGATCAGAAGCTATTGAGAAGAATAGAAGTAACTTAGACCAAGCAAGTTTCTTAAAATCAATTCATTTGATGCTCAAACATTATGTTTTTACTAAGATCTCGTTATCGGGTAACTTGTACTAACACATGCCACATAAGTATGTGACAGAGTTAGTATAAGCTTCTGGTTCAGATTTCTGATCTATACTATTAAAACAGAATCCCTCCTAGAATTCTACCCATAATTTTTGAATTATTTACAAAGATATACCACTAGCATTTAATTTTAATATAATTATTATTTATTTAAACTAAATAACTAAATCGCTCCTATATTTATGGTAATTAATAATTTTCTGATTTTGTGTTTAATAATAATTTATTTTTATGCAATTTATACTTTCTTTTAATTTTAATATCTTATTTTCATGCATAAGATCATTTAGCGATCAAAAATTAAATATTATTATTGACTATGTCATAATATGGATATACCAATTCAATTTGTTTTAATAAATTACCGTTTAGATATTTAATAAGTAAAAATGTAAAGTAATCATAGGTTATTAATAATGAAAAACAGATATTGTTATATAAATATTTTTCTTCTATTACCATTGTTTCATTTTTCAAATAAAAATAAATTCATTAAATTCTAAGAAATTACAAAAAAATCAATTTTCTTTAATTTTAAAAGTATGTGTTATTTACTATTTTTTTAAAAATGTTATCAGTTTTTATGGGACTTTTAGCAGATCTACAAATATTTTATTTCAGATTAATAGAGGGCTTTTGCATATTTATCAGTTTTATCAAAATTTTAATTAATAAAATTTCATTAAATCTTACTGGACTATACAAAAATTGTTGGATATACCGGTTCAACTATGGTTTAAATCAGATATGAAAACACACAATACGTGAAAATCAAACAAGATAATAGAAAATTTTAATATTAGTAGAACAATTTTTTTGTGTTAAAATAAAATTTATTAATTCAAATAAATTTTATCAAAAAATATAATAAACCCGCGCTTTAAAAGCACGGGTCAAAATCTAGTTATTTCTTAAAGTATGTACGTGTGTATTTTATATATGCTTGCACGATCATGTAGAATACAGATGTACGTTTGTGTACTTTTTTAAAGTGTATGGCTAATCAGGAATCTTTGGTCTAAAATTGAAGAACGTGTTTGGTTGATGACGCCGTGAGGGAGAAACGTGACAAGGTAATGCTTCTAAGAGATTATAATCCCTTCACAACTTTATGTCCATTTGTATGATCCTTATATATACATCGATCAATTTCAAACACCTAAAGGATGATAGAGACTAGATCCTTTTGTATTTTTTTTTTAATTTATGTACATAATTACATAAACTAAAATATATTTCCATTTTATCATGTTCAACTCCGGTGGTATAACGAAATGTAGTTCAATTTAGAAAAAAATTCCTGACAGGAAGATATTATGAATTAAAAAATTTGTACATTTTTTTTTGTTACAAAGAAGTTCAGTTTAATCTTTTGGATATCCTTTAGAAACTTGTGGCATCTACATATTATAAATGTCATTGTCTAAGCCGCCACAATATCCTTATCTACAAGACACAAAATAACTCCACTACAAAGCGCCGGTGCCAGTAAGATGCAGTTTGATCTAGAAATGCAAATGCTCCATATGATTTGTTCTTTTCCTCAGATTCGGAAAATATAATACAATATTGTTCTCATCTCCATTGGTAACAACGTTAATAGAGCAAGTTTAGTATAACCCTGCTTGAACCGTCAGAAAATAAATTTACTCTTTTAGGAGAAAGGTTAATCGGTTCCAGTATGTGATTTTGTGCAGAACAAACTATATATGGTTAACCATAAAACCCTAGAAAATATTGTCTTCTGTTATTCAAGCATGGTTTGATCCGACCGAGTGGAACTCCTATACAAGCTGGGTCAAAATTAAGTCATCTTTCGTAAGGTCTCAAAATGTTGGACTGTTGCGATCTGAATCAAGACCTTTTATATTGATTCCTACATTCTCTTATTTCACATTTACTACAGCTTGATCATTGATGTTAATGTGTTATCGTTATGAATAGTTGCAAATATTGTAATTGCGTTATAAGAAATGCAACTACGTTTGTTTTATTAACATCATGAAGCCAAAAAAAAATAATGTTTTCATCAGATATTTAAGAACTTAGAAACCATGTTTTATCTTGAGTCTCGATTTATCAATGGGATGTCTCGTGACTCTTGTCCAGTGTTGGGTTAGTTCACTTATGCTGACCAAATGGACGTGATTATGTACCTCTAAGTGATGCGGTCCGTAAATGACCAAGACCTTCAGTTTTTAATTGCACAGCGCATTACCCTAGCTATTATCTAATTTGGGAAGGTCCTTGTGGACCTAGTGCAAGTGTTAAGATATTAAACAACAGTGAAGCGAGAGCATGATTCAGAAGGTTACCAAATGTCTTATAAAATAGGAACCTTTGCCATCAAAATATTTCAAGACATCCTTATACAATTTCCTTAACTATAAAAATTCCAAAATCACGCTTTTGTTTTGTTTTTTTTTAAAAAAAAAAAAATGATTAAAAAGTAATTATATACCTGAAAAAACTAATTTTGAAAATAAGCTATTATGTAGAATTGTACATGCTGTAAAGTGAAAGCTGGTGTATCCAAAGTACACAAATATTCTGGTCGTCGTCTATATATGCCTAGACCTTCGCGAAAATCAATATATGGGTGATTGGTATATAGATATGCACAGAAATACGTACATACATTATCAGGTGGAAAATTACCTTGGGTTTCTGAGCCCCATGCTACAATTCTTCTGTTGAGGATTCCTCATGTATAGTACCCTGCCTTACAAGTTACAGTATCATATGTATTCTGAATTTACGTTCCTTTACATTGCTTTATATTATGAACAATTTGTAATTAATGATTTTAATTTCATTTTAGTGGAAAACTGGCTACTATCAGTTAATTCAAATTGTGATGATGTCAATATGATAACTAGTAAACAGACAACTTTGAATACTATGGTTGGTGATGATTATGTTTAGTAATGGGAGATCGGACAGGTTTTTATGATGTGGCGTAGCTTTATAGGTTTGAATGTGCTTTATTCCATATTGGTGAGCAGCCTTGGTATTTGAAAAAGCAGAACAATCATCTAATTTAGATTCCTTTCTTTCACTGTGAACCAATCCCTCCTTTTTTAGGACCCCAAACAAAATACTAATTGAAGTACTATAATATATCCTCGCGAGTGATAAAGGACTATATATTTCTTATATGAATTTTGTGTTAGATTGTTATAAGAAACTGATGCAAAGAAAAAAACATGGTAACCCGTAGTGTCCAGTAAAGAAAGAAACTCCAATAATGACCAAATCAGTAGAGACTTGAGAAGAGCTCTTCTAACACTTACAGTGAAAAATGGATGACGAGTTCCACACAAACTGACAAAAAAAAGCAAATCTGTCGCCTAGTGAGCTGTATACACGTGTTCCAAAGCGCGTCAAACTGACATTCTTAAGATTAAAATTCTCGTCCCGACATTGATTCTCTGCTGCTGTCCTTAAATGTGTTCATAGTCACATGTAAGAATCAAGCCGTCATCTCAGTTATCTTGATTTAATTTATCATCTAAGTATTTAAAGAAATCTTCTGAACATTTTTTTTTTTGAATTCTATACCAAAATAAGTTTAAACATAAAAAAACTAGAAAGTTTATATATTCTTAGTGATTCATTAAATGTTTATGTGAGACAATTAAACATACATATATACACGTCTATTGTTCCTTTCTAAAGATCTTTCCGCCAAACCTCACCTTGCCTATCAAGCCTACATCTTCAGATTTGGTTCCTAAAACCTTTCCCTTCACCATCATGACAAGTCTCTCAATCGCAATTTGCTTGGTTCTAGTGCTCTCTTTTCACATTTCAATCTTATATTTTATTTTGTGACTTTTGTTGTTAAAAAATATTACTTTTATATTTAAATAAAATTCCAAACAAACGGAGGTTCATCTGGAGATGTACTATTAGCTATGGTGAGGGAACTTTAGAATCAACTCTATATATAGTGATACATTCAAAGACAGTTTCTGGCGAGATTAAGCTCTACCATAATGAAGTGAGGTTGATTAGCTCGTTAAAGATTCATATTTCGTTTACTTTTTCTTTGGTACATTTTCTTTCTGTTCTATATTTTATTCAAATTCGAGAGTAGGGAGGAGAGCAAATCAGGAAGAGGCCTTTAGACCAAAATAGTGTTTTATTTTTGACAGTTTAGGTTAAGAACAATGTAGTTTACTAACTAATTCAATATAATTTGGCATCTTAGTACGTCCGGTATAGAACAGAATAATACTAATATTTAGACCATACTAGTGAGAAATAAAACTAACTTATTCAATATATCATGACTTTAATACGCTTGACAGATATATAGATCCCTCTAAGACATTAGAGCATTCCATAGTAGTAAATCAAACTCAAAATATAACAAAGGAAGTGTTGATACAACAAAGGAACAGTCTCAGACACACCCAGTAACTGAAGCGACGTACCTATAATCATAGACCGAGTACAAGGGAACTCGTAAACATAAACTAAAAAAAAAAACTTAAAACAAGATAAAATAACCTAATAATTAGTAACTAGGGCTTTTCATCACTAAGCACACTCTAGTTTCCTCTTTTTGGTTGAACTCAACGAGAAGCACCGAAAGTAGAAAGATCAGTCCAGGAAGAGCAATTACCATTGACATTAACCCATTTGTAAGGATTATTATCCTCAACTTTAACTGACGAAAACTGTGACGCCAAAGCTGATGAGATCGACGCAGAAGTTATCCTTGGGGACTCAAAAGGGTAAAACCCATTTGAAGATGGATTAAGATTAGAGTCCTCCAAGTTTCCACCTCCTAAAATCTGCTGCTGCTGATGATGCGACGCCGTTCTCCACTCATCAACACAGCTCATAAGAGAGCCACCAGAAGCTCCCATGTGGACTGATCTCAAGTCTTGACTCAATCCTCCATAGTTCAACAAGCTCATGCTGTTGTTGTCTATTTTTGTATTATCTGTGAGATCTCCTAGATGATGAGGATTCATTAGCCTACCTGGAGACAAAATCTGGCTCAAGATATTCTCATGGGTTCCTCCATAGTTCGAGGAGAGAATCGCGCTGATAGTGGATGCATTCCCCGAGGCAGCGGAGGAGAAGCTTGTGTTGTTGCTAGTGGCGGTGCTGCTATTGTTGTTGTTGCTGCTGCTTTTAGTACGCCTGTTTCTCCGGCAGCCACCACCGACGGGGACGTTGCGGAGGGCGCCGCCACGTGTCCAGTATCTCCGGCATGTTTTGCAGAAGTGGCGTGGCTGAGTGAGGCTGTAGTTGTTGAAGTAGCAGAACTTGGTGTTGGTGGATTCGCATCTTGGACATTTTAGTGCTACTTCAGGCATGGCTACGTTTGCTTGTCTTGCTCTGTCCACCATGGAGCCTGGTCGGATCGAGCCGCTGCCTCCGCTACCATTAGACAACGGATGGGACTGTGGCTGCAGCTGAGGACAAAGACCATTACCCCCGGTTGCTGAGGCTCCTGCGCCGCCCTGATTATAATTGCTCGGAGGAGCCTAAAATAATTCAACAAATGTGAAAAGCAAGAAAATAAATTCTTAGAAAGTGAATAATAAAATTCAAGAAACATGCTAAGCATGATCAGTTTGAATACTTTGATTCCAAAATTAGAGCATGTAATTACTAAGCAGTAATATTTTTTTTTGTCTCATATATAAGAAGTTTGTATGTATGGAATAGTAAAGAACTTACTTGCTGCCAGTTGGATGAATCAAGATAAGCTTGGATGGAGGAGAAAACCATGGTTATAGTACTCTCTTTTGATTTTATTCTTCAAAATTCTTAAAGTAAAGTTATATTCTTCTCTTTTTTTTTTCTTGGTGGTGATATTGGAACTAGATCTGGTAGAGAGGAATCATATCAAAGGAAAAACAAAAAAACAAAGAGAATGAAGGGGAAAGAAGAGGAGGTTGAGTGTGAGGATGAAGATGGCTAAAATTTAAAGTGGACGAACCTTTATATATATTTATGTCCATATATATGCATGTGTATACAATATTTTTTTATAGGATATAAAAAATAATTTTCATATATGTAATTATTAGGGTTTGTGTACCATATGGGGTGGGACTGACATGATTCTTTTTGTTTTCTTGCTTTAGTTAGGGTTTAAATTTCTTATCAATAGTTTCATACCCACATATATATTAATTATTACTACATAAATAAACTTTATCTTTTTCCTTGTGATGGTCATCGCTTCATGGATCCACTCATTAGACCGAGTTTTATAGGGGTATAACTCGTGATTATTTTACTAATGTTTAATTTTCAATGTTATAAATATAAGTATATTCTTGATACATGATTTGTATAGAATAAAAAATGAACTGTATTCTCAAAAAAATTGCTGTTAGTAATCCATGATAACTAAAAATGTAATCAATTAGAAAACCACTCAAAGACAACGATGTAGTCAATATAAAATTGCAAAGTTAACCCTTGTCCCTTAAAATAATGACTACAAGGTGTTTTGTGTACACATTGATTCAACTTAAAGAACCGAAGGATCTCTCGGTAAGAGTGATTACATAGTTGATTTCTGTCTAGATTGATCCGAGTAGAATATATGGAGTGAATTTAGGAGACAAAGCTGTTATTTAGACCAAACTTCGAGGGATACATAATGATTGTTAATAAGATCGTTGATCATATAATGATTTAGTATAATTATCTGAAAACAAAAAAAGAAGATCAAAGAGATTGAAATTAGGAAAAGTGAGTAGAATGGGTGCTTTGGTCGTTGGAAGACAGTCGAAGCATCGTGACCGGTCCATCATGTCCCCCCCTTCTCTCTACTTTACTTCGCCACTTTTTTTTTTCTCTGCATGGCAAATATATCTCTCGTACTTGTGATTGGTCTTCACGCTCCCTCGAACAGCGTCACTCTTACTCTCCCCATCTCCCTATACGTTGAAGTTTGGACCTTCGGTTCACTTCCCAAGGTTTCTTTTCTCAGTTTTACTCAACATTCTGCAAAAACATTCCTCACAAACTTTGATAGATTTCATATTTTATTTATACTATTTTGTCATTTTGTACCAATCCGAGCTTGTGTGTGTGTAACAAAGAAACTATTTGGTTATATCATTCTGAGCTATATATCACAAATGAAGTCATTTTTGGTTAAATCAATTTGACAAAGTGTAAAATATACAAATATATGAGACTGATGTTAGGTAAAATAGAAGAAAAAGAGAAAAAGTAGTTGAATAAAATGGCTTTTATTTTGTAGTTACGTTTCAATTTAGCTGTCGTTTTAGAATAAAAGTTTCGTTTTAAAATAAATGTTCTTTTGATAATTTCGATGTAAAATTTATTCACTTTATCTACTAATATATTTTTTATTGGTTGAAAATGTGGTTATGTGTACAGATAATTGTGTTTTTTTCTATAAAATATGTAAAATTAAATGTGAAAAAAGCCAAAACGACAAGTAAATTGTAACGGACGGAGTACTATTTCGTAATTTTGCAGCTTAAACATTTTGAGACATGTAACAATTAACAAACAAAAGACAATGAGTAGATTTTAAACTTTAGGTTAAATTGACAAATAAGTTAATCAATGGCTTTGATTTGTAAACTCAAGATCACAATAGAATCATTGTGCAATTCAACAATTTTTTTTTACTAGTGCAGTTTTTTTTGCATGTGCAACGATTCTGCAAGTTTACAATTTCTTTCCGCATATTTGATTATCTATATTTGATTATTTTGTCATTTTGCAGCTAAACAAAACTAATCTGGTAAAGACATTTTGATAATTTGATAATATGTTGATGAGATTGACAATATATAAGTAAACATTACAAATATATTACAAAAGGCCAAAGAAACTTCCCATGAAAAATTAACGATTGGAAGAATAAAATCAATAACCAAGAGTTAACATACAACAAAAAAAAAACTATTTACATTGCTTAGCCCTGAAATTCTCATGATCAAGAAGCTTAACCATGAGCTTCTCAAACCTCTTCCAACTCACCGTCGGCTTAACAACCTCCTGAGTCTTCAACTCCAATCCACCGTCGTTTTGACCCAGCAGCTCAGCGTCAATCTTATCAAGTACAACATCATCCTCTCGAAGCTCCCTTGCAAATGGCGCCCCGCTTTGGACCATGTCATGAAAATCTTCAACCGTTAGATTCAGGGCTCGCTGTTGGAGAACCGTATCCCAATGCGTGTAGTGCAAGTCATGGTTAACAGTTGTGTTCTGATAGTCTTTGTTGTTGCAAACAACTGTCTGAAAATAGCCTTCTGATGATAAAAGGAAGTTGGTGTAGTACATTAATAGTGTTCTTGGGAGGTTGTCCCATCCCCAGATGCAGAATTCGAGGAACGGTCTTGTTAGAGCTACACTTGTTGACCCTATTAGAAAGAGATTCATACACTTAGAATAAAGATGAACAAGTAATGAGATCTCATTAGGTGTTCTTTCTTACCCATGAAAAGTTTGAAGGAAGCAGGTAATGATCGTCGCTCTTTAGCCCAAAAGACACTAGATTTCTTCGAATGGTAAAAGCCAGGATCGATGATGATAGGTCTTGCTCTCTGGTGCCTGCAAAAATTTACAGTTAGAGATGTTAACACAAATGATTATAAAACAGAGAACATTCCATGTAAGTTTTACATAATAATAGCACTCTCACTCTTTCCAACCGATGTTGCTTGTGTGCTCAATGAAGTTCAGATAACGAGGCAAGTACGAGAAGATATGCAAAATATCTGAAACCAGACAAAAAGAGCCACAGGTACAATAAAATCACTGAACTGTAAAACAAGAGACAAAGAAAAAGACTAAACAACATTTCAGACACACTCTTATGTTTTACACTCAACCCTCAAGTCAAGTGTTCAGAGCCTAAGTTAAAATCAATACACAGAAGCCAATCAAACACATTTACACATCACATGTCTTCCTAATTGTCTACAAGTGAACCAACCACACCATATATGAGTTTCATAAACCAATAAAACCGGTTCAACCCAACACACATGAACCAATCAACTACATAAACAGAATCCTCATCTGATGTTGGAATAACAAAACATCAAAATTCTACACAATTCAACATTGTCTAGGAGAGAACCAACCACACCATATATAAAACCGGTTCAAGCCAACCAATTACAGTAAAACCGGTTTAAGAATTTCAGTAAAAAGCCATACCATCTTGAGGCATGAGAGGATAATCAGATGAACTAAGATTAATAAACCAATCCCAATCCTCAGCTCTCTTCATCAAAATCGCAACACCATGAAGCGTACTTGCCAACATAGTCGGACCTTTCTCAGTAACCAAATCAGCCAAACCCATCACCATAACATTCCTCATCTTCTCCTTCTCCGACCTAACGTACTTCGCAAGCTCCATCCTCTCTTCATCAGAAGCTTGGAGATCAAGATGGAGAAGATAGTAGTTTCTCGGATGGTGTATCGCTCTTAGGAGACGCTTCACTCGTTTCCCATCTCCTTTCGTCCCCGTTACGAAGTATGCTAGCTTCGGGATGTTGGGTTTCCCGGTTAGGTTCCGGTTTGGAGTTGAACCGGATGGTTTTCGAGAGGTTAGTGTTAGACCAAGAAGGAACAAGAGGATAACGCCAAAGACTAAAATAGCTGGTCGAGAGCAAGAGCAAGATCGAGGAGAAGAAATGTGAGATCTTTTCATGATCATGAGTTTAGGATTCTCCACGGGACATGAGAGGTCAAGATCTGAGCTCGGCGGTGGTGGAGAAAGAGAGAGAGAAGGTAAAGCCGGGAAGGTGACGAAAGAGTTTGGTGTTTTTAATTATTTAAAAAAACATGGTGGAGGTGGAAACGACGTCGTTTTAGTTAGAGGATTGTGATGAATATTAACCGTATGATTCTTTATGGGATCTTTATGCACCGTTGGATGAGTTTTGTTGTGGGGAGAGTCAACGTCAGACCACACTCGATGTTGGTTACGGAGTTACGAAGCAACCGAAGAAAATAACATAACATGAAATTAAACATATGTTTCCGATTGACTTAAAATTTGCTTACTGTTCCAATAAATAGTTAATAATAAAAAACAATAAATAGTTAATAATAATAAAATAAATCACAGAAAAAAAATAAAATATAAGTAAAAATATAATTAAGCTAAGCTGGAAAGCGGAACAAGGCGGTTACCGCCACCGCTGCGATTCTTACTACCAGACCAAATTGTTTCGGACAAGTAAACATGTACTATCATCATCACAGACACAATGAACCAAATCCTCATTTGGTGATTGTCGGTGAAACATTGGGTCATATGCTAATGGGCCACCAGTTAATTGAGCTTAAAGGTGTATTAGAGACTAATAAGCCCGCAAGATATGAGGCTTTAACCACACACCTTGGGCCACATAAAAGCACAAATTAAGATTAACAATGATTAAGACAACGCAAATCCTTGTAATAAAGAATCTATTTTGACGGTGTGTAAGTAAACAAGCAGCCAATAAAATAAAGATAAAATCGTCACCGTTAAGTAACGGCAGAACCTTTCCACGGTTTCATCCAGGGCAGGCGTTTACTCAGGGCCGTATCTCTCTTTCTCTCTCTACAAAGAACAAAAAAAAAGAAAAGGAAGAAGAAGAAAACTAAGATTTGTTGTTCTGTTGGGTCAATACACAAAAGAGTAATGATGATGACGATACCCTCTTAGCTTCATCTCTTCTTATCTTCCTCACAACTGGTTTACTTTTCTTTTCTTTTCTCTCTTTTATCTCTCCCGTGTCCTTATCTACTACACAAAGACTTAATCCGATCTAACTTCCTTCTTCAAAGTTTCTGTCTTTTCGGTTTAATCTGTTCAAAGTATCAAACTTTCTGTAATTAATTCACTGTTAGGAGTTTCAAGTTCATACCTTTTTGTGAGAAAGGAAGCTTCTTTTTTATTGGAGATGAGTATCAATGGTAGATACTTGGATTAACGTTTTATCCATGGAGAATCATCACCCTTCAACTCTCTTATCAATGGATTCAAGTGCTTCTTCCCACGAGGAGCTTGATTTGGAGATGAACAACAACCGTCAATCTCTCCTCACCGGCCCTCCTGACATCAACCTCCCTCTCTCCGCCGAGCGTAGCCCACCTCCACAGCCATGGAATCTCGATTCTTGCGACATTCTTGATGTTGGGTTAGGGTCACAAGCTTATGAAACCGAGAATTACATGAGCGTTGTCCCCAAAGTTGGTCGGAAATGCGCTAAGCGTGTGGACAGTGTCTGGGGAGCTTGGTTCTTCTTCAGTTTCTACTTCAAGCCTGCTTTGAACGACAAGTCGAAGGCTAAGATTGTTCGTGACAGCAACGGGTTGTCTGGTTTCGACAAGACGGATCTGAAGCTTGATGTGTTTTTGGTTCAGCATGATATGGAGAATATGTACATGTGGGTTTTTAAAGAGAGGCCTGAGAATGCTCTTGGGAAGATGCAGTTGAGAAGTTACATGAATGGGCATTCGAGGCAAGGGGATCGTTTGTTTCCGTTTAGTGTTGAGAAAGGGTTTGTGAGGTCTCATAGGATGCAGAGGAAGCATTACAGAGGCTTGTCGAATCCGCAATGTGTTCATGGGATTGAGCTTGTGCCTTCACCGAACTTGACTTGTCTTGATGAGGAAGAGAGGAAGAGGTGGATGGAGCTTACGGGTAGGGATTTGAATTTCACGATTCCACCTGAGGCTAGTGACTTTGGTTCGTGGAGGAATCTTCCCAACACTGAGTTTGAGCTTGAGAGGCATCCACCTACGTTGAAGAATACTTCTAAGAAGTTACTCAATGGCTCTGGACTCAATCTCTCAACTCAACCATCCAATGGTGAAGGGACGGATCTATCTCCCTCTAGTCACAAGAAGAGGAAGGACATGTTCTCAAATGGTATCCATGAGGAAGAGTGTTGCTTAACCGTGAACCCTCCTGCTATAGAAGTTCACCAGAATGAGCTACCAAACTGGTCTAATGAGTTTACCGGAGCCATGAAAAACGTTCACGGACCTGTTACTGCTGCAAAGACCATATACGAGGATGAAGAAGGTTACTTGATTATAATAACACTTCCTTTTGTGGATTTGAACAGCGTGAAAGTCTCGTGGAGGAACACTCTCACACACGGTATCATAAAAGTCTCATGTGTCAGCACGTCGCGTGTACCTTTCATCAAGAGACATGACAGGACATTCAAGTTGACTGATCCAAACTCCGAGCATTGCCCACCAGGAGAGTTTGTAAGAGAGGTCCCGTTATCAACTCGTATCCCTGAAGATGCAAATATTGAAGCGTATTACGATGGACCAGGTTCGGTTCTTGAGATACTTGTCCCGAAACTAAGAGCTGGTCCGGAAGAACATGAGGTGAGGGTGTGTCTGCGTCCACATCTTGGAGGAAATGATCTTATGTTGACATAAAAAAAAGAGAGACATTCTGTTACAGTGTTCTCGTTTGTAGAAAGCTTATAGGAGTTGTCATCGTACCTCATTGTTGTTGGCCATTTGATATATATAGACGTTTTTTCACTGTTTAAATGAGATTATTCACTACATTGCAATCTTGTACCAGTAGACGACACTAAGTATGTGTTTTGAGTGCTGATTATAACTTTCAATCCAATATGTAACCCATTATACTCACTTAAGACTATAAGATAAGATATTGTTCAAGCAACAAAGTTGAATCATACCATAGAATTTGATACAAGTGAGGTTACTGACTGAGATCAAGCAAGAGCTGTTTCAGTGCATCCGGAGACAGAGGTATGTTCAAACACTCTTGTCCATCGGAGTTTCTCTTGGTCTTAACCAGTTCGTGATCTTTAAACTCCATGAGATGAGAGTTGAGAGTCACTTGACTGCTCACAAAGAAGCGTTCACGTGAGGCTGAATACAGTTCTTCAGTGGGCATGCCGTCTTCATCTGGATGAGAAAGTTGGTAGTCAGCGAGAATCTTGAAGACGTTCTGAGCGTTTGGTGTCAAACTCTGTAAGACAATGGCCGCTGTTTTAGCGGTTTGGGCTGTGCTTCCCTGTGCAAGAACCAGTGGGAAGAATACACCTTCGACCTTGTATGGTGCAAATGTTGGAACGTGGTGCCATAGCCAGTTAAACTGTTTGTGCACCATTTTCTTGTCCCACACTGCAATGAGTACAAGAAACATCGTCTCAGGACAAGGAAGTGGTACAAAAGATCATTAAAAACTTTGACAGATGGAGAATAACGCTTACATAAGGGAGCATTGACATGGTCAATAGAGGCAATAATGCGTATATGTGAACAGGAAGCAAGTTGGGCGAGAGTTTGCTGTGACTCAGAATCCCTTAAAGCAGGGCCGTCAATGTTATGAACAACAACGCATATGAAGCAGTCTTTGTCTTCGGACTGTGAGCCATGTAGAAAGGAAAGTATATCATCAATGGAGCGTGAAGGTAATGCTTCTTGACCTTTAGCCGGAGTCCCAGAACTCTTTCTTCTAGATTTCAACAGCTCAGACAGAAGTTCAGCTATTGCCAAAAGAACCTGAATTTGCAAGCCAGAGATGATCTTGTTAATTCCTAAAACCATGTTCTTTAAAGCCAGATAGTCAAAGAACTAATAGCTACATACAAATTGACAAAGGAGTACCTGCTTTAGATTTACTGAAGGAAGGTAGCCATTGATTACAACAACGGAATACTCAGTCAACGAAGATGAAGCAAAATCTTCAATCAAAGCTTTTTTAGATCCAAATCCATACATTAGAAGACCAAAGCCACACCTGGAATCAGCAAAATGAAATGAGAACATGGTGAATCTGATGGTACAAAGGATCCTAACTTCCAGAGGAGAAGGTCAAAGAGTAGGAGCAATCAATATCTTCAACAATTACAGAAGCACCAGAAACAGATTTAAACCTTGTTATATTCTTCTAACAGACTCTGCCATAATTGATATTCAGGTTCTAAACTCTCTCTAATATCAGCGTTTCTAGGACAGCAAGAGCCTTTCTCACCTGAGTTCAAAGACCCACTTCGGATACTTAGTCTTGTAATCATCCAAAATCTCATCAATCTCTTTCTCGTGCTTCGTTTCAATATTAAACGCTGTTTCTCTAAGTTCCTGAAACACAATCAACTTGTCAAATGAAAGCAAGGTTTCACATCAAACATATATTTCGAGAGACAACACACACCTGTTCATCAACAATGTTAATATCAGATAGCTTACGCGCTGACTTCTTGCTTGACCCACCCAACTCTTTAGCCAGAAAATAGTTTCTTGAGAACCCATACTCATCTTCCTCTATGTTATCTATGTCCTCCATTCTCCTAAAGAAACAACGAAACCTTGACTCAAGTGTCTCCTGAAACAACAGCCATCATAACATATTAATGAATAATTTCTATAAACAATTAATCAAAACCTTAAGTTCATCAGACAAGGTTGAGTTCTGAACTAACAAACTAAAGTTCTGATTTTTAAATAGGCTTTTGTCTTATTAACAACATATTAATCACTTAGACGAAATAACAATCATCATCATTCAGAATAATGAGATCAACAAAACTTGAACTACCTTTCAGAGAATCGTAAATTCGATTGTGCAGTTCAGTTTCCACCGAAGTGAATTGATGAAGTTACGATGATTCAGTCCGATGAGACTCCGACGAGAAGATGGAAGCACCCGGCGGCGAATACTAAGCCCTACGATTGATAATAAAAAAAAAGCAGTTTTTATTTTCCCGCGCTTTTTGCTTCATCTTCCCGGTAAAATCTCCACGACGTCGTTTTAATTAAATATTAAAATCTACGGTTCACATGTTCCCAATACCCGTATCACACGGATAACATAAAATCCAACGCTTCTTAATGAAACATCACTGAGACGTTCACCAATAAAATTCAACCACACGGATCGATCTTTACAGCCGTAGATTAAAATTAAAATCCAACGGATCATATCCTCCCCGAGAAATTAGAAAAAAGCAGAAAACACAAAAGCTGTATGCTCTCCGCTCCTATATAAACCTCTCAGATCTATACACATCCTTCACACGTGTGAGAAACAAGAAAAAAAAAAGGAAAGAAAAATGTCAGGGCGTGGGAAGGGAGGAAAGGGATTGGGAAAGGGAGGAGCCAAGAGGCACAGGAAGGTTCTCCGAGACAACATCCAAGGCATCACCAAGCCTGCGATTAGGAGGCTCGCTCGTAGAGGCGGCGTGAAGCGTATCAGCGGGTTGATCTACGAGGAGACACGTGGCGTTCTCAAGATCTTCCTCGAGAATGTGATTCGTGACGCGGTGACTTACACTGAGCACGCGAGGAGGAAGACTGTGACGGCGATGGATGTTGTGTACGCGTTGAAGAGGCAGGGAAGGACTTTGTATGGGTTCGGCGGCTGAAGAGGGGGTGGGGGTTGGAGTTAGGGTTTTTTTTTGTAAATCGGCGTCTGTTTGTTTTTCTAGGGTTTGTTAAGACGTTTTAAGATTTGGTTATGGTTTCGTGTGTAATGTTTCGGTGATTTGGATTTAATGAAAATGCTTTTTATTATATCTAAGGTCTCTTTTGCAGTTTGATTAGCTATCTTTAAGCTGAACCGTGTTAATTAAAAACAGTCTAAACAACTTCTCGTGTTCATCAACTGGTTATCACATCTCCGGTTCCAATCTTGGCAAGAACTCGTAACAGTTTTCATTGTTTTGAACCTTAAGTATTTCATGAAGTGTCGAAATGATTCAGCTAATTTCTTTTGCAATTCAAATCTGTGTATTTAACTAACCTTTGTTTGAAAATTTGTTTTTGGTATGAATGGTTAAAAATGTGAGCTAATTGGAAATCTCTGTATAGTTACCCATCTGGGCTTTATATCAAAGTTATGGTCAAAGGCATATTAAGGGGAACTCATTGTCATACTCTGCATTATATAACAAGTTCTTATTTTGGGCTTTGCTTATCTTGGCCCATCTTTGTTTTGTCTTGTGGCCCACATAAACTAGATAGGTTTAAATTTTTCTTACCAAGCCCCGTAAGTTGCACGAAAGTAACATTCTGTCCCGCCAAAGTTAGGGCTTCAGCTGCTTCTCCTAAAACATAACTGTCTTGAACACACACACCTTCCTCTACTTCCCAAAGAGTGGGTTGTATGATCGCTGATGTTTGAGGTGAAATTCCCTCGATTGTTTAGTACAAAGTATTGGTTGGAAACTGAAACTACTTTCTCGGTTATTACTTTACAGTCCACCTGGTTGCGGCAAGTCAACCTGACTCTCTGAGTTGGATTCTGGTAAGAGCTCTTATATATAGATCCCCATCAAAACATAAAAGTAAACAAGAACGCAGTTGTGAAGTGTTTCAATTGTAGTTTTGTTTTACTCTTTTTTTCAGAGACATAAAATAGAAAATATATGGATTACTCCCTAATCATCTCTGTTTTTTTTTTTTTTTGGCTAAAATTTCCCTAATCATCTCTGTTATTTGTGACAATATCTAACTCTCTAGAATCGTTTACTCAATTGGCATTTGTTTGCAACAATGCGGAGTGATTGATTGTGTTGGTTGTTTTGTTTTCTGTGAATCTGTGATTAGTAACTAAAAGGACTATTAGTAACATCTATATTATTACTGGATGTTACTAATCTAGAAGGACTATTTGTAATATCCCTTAATTATTATTGGCTAAAGATCTTTAAAATTCTTAGTTTCTTAAAGCTCATCTTTAAATAGTTTAATATAAATACTCAATTGTTTTCTTTTTAACTTTGAGTATTTTTTAGTCATATATTTAGGAAAATATCCTCTGATAATGAGAGCCATATTCGAATTACAAACAACGCACGGCTCTCTTTAGTGTTTAGTTTAACCATTTTCTACATGCCCTTTTCTGCCATAATCATTTTTGTTGTGTTTGATATTACAGGGGTTCAACACGTTGCCATTAAAAGCCATGAATGCTTAAAATATACATTTGTAGTGGCTAAAGCAAATTCATTCCATTCTAATGGAGCGTTTAGACGCCAATAAGCTTTCACATTAATGTTTTAATGACTACTTAATTGGCAGGGTTTGAGTCGATGATAGGACAATGTGCCTTAATCTACTAATGTGTTCATGTTTCCGGAACCATGACCTACGTTACTCCAAACAAATAGAATAAGAAGAATCATGATCTATGCATATATAATGATTTTGACCTTTGTAACCTTGTAATAAACTAAACGGTCGATCGTTGTAAAATATATGAATTTCACACTTATAAATAACCTAAAATAATAATGGGTTAGAAAGAAAACGGTATTGTTTTTTCTTCTTTTTTGCATTTTAAATATGAAAGCTAAGTTAGCAAAAAAGTACTAATTAGTGAATCATTGGACACCAACCGTATCTCTTTCTATTACTGTTATGGTTTTTAAATTAGAAATAGGATCCCAATCGAGAGTAAATCATAGTATATGTTTTCTTTCCACTATAGCTACTTTGTTTTCTTTCTCAGTCATCATATGGCTTTCGTAATCGTATAATTCCGAAGCTAGTGTGCACTATGTTCCACTACAACACATGTGGATCTCTTGGGTTGAATAATAAATATAATCAAATTTTTATTTTAATTACGTTCGTGACAACATGTGATACTCTTCTTCGGAGTTGTGAATTGAGATCATTTTCGTGGTCCAGTGACATTGTGGTTGCAGTTAGCTCGGTTCCATCAATCTTAGGATTATAGAAAAGAAAACTTCACGGATTGAGCTTTAATAACTCGTTTGTAAGGAGAAAATTTGACCAAAAGAACAAAATGATTATGTATTATTGGGATGTAAATCATATCCTGAGGGACGTCCAGTCATCATGCCAAAACTTACCTATGATGCAAAACCAATGCGTATGAATGTGAAAATGGCATCAAATGATTTTGATCCACTCCGGTTTAGCCAGTATTTACTATGTGAATTACACTTCACTTTAACATACATATACACATTCATACGTGCGTAAACAAATAATTATGAACTCGTTATGTATATAAATCTTGATGATTGATCGATTGTTTACATAAACATCAGCTAGGCGGTATTCTCTTTATTAATGTGAGTGACATCTTCTTTTTTGACAGCGAGTGACAATCTTTTAAAGTAATGTTTTAAATGTATCTCAGTGAGCACGATCGATAGTAAGGACAAACAAAATCAGAAAAAAACATGAATGTTGTTGACCAAAGAGAAAAGGAAGGTTTTTGCATGATGATTAAAATATGTGTAAAATGAAATGCGAATATTCTTCAAAAAACTTTTGTTGCAAAAATTATTGGCTTGTCACCAACCACTCTCATTTCTCGTCTATAAAAGATGTAAACTGTCTTCCCTAACATGTCACAACTTCTCCAATCATCTCCTAAGAAAAATCTATAAAGCGAAAGATAAATATCCTATTTTTTTCTTCCTTCACATGGAAAAAGATAAGTAAAGAAATTAAAAGTAAGATCGTTTCAGGTTCGCTATTCTCATTGAGAGTGTAAATTTAGTTAACAAAAATGGTTGTAAATGAAACGAATATTAAAGCGGCGTCGGATGGAGTATGGGAAGGAGACAACCCTCTAAACTGTGCCTTTCCTCTTTTAATAGTCCAAGTCATAATCGTACTCTTAAGCAGCCGCTTCCTCGCCTTCCTCCTCAGACCTCTACGTCAACCCAAAGTCGTGGCCGAGATCCTCGTAAGCACTATATACTATACACACTATACATGCAAATGCACTTATATTTATACGTAAAATGGTTACACTAACGTCGACTTTGTAATAACATTCTAATATAGGGAGGGATATTGTTGGGACCTTCAGCATTAGGGAGAAACCAAGATTTTATCGAACTAATATTTCCAAAATGGAGCACACCGATACTTGAGTCAGTGGCAAGTATCGGTCTCCTTTTCTTCCTCTTCTTAGTTGGTCTAGAGCTGGACCTATCAGCTCTAGGCCACACAGGAAAGAAAGCTTTTGCTATAGCATTCGCTGGAATTTGTCTCCCGTTTGCTTTAGGCGCAGCTATCTCTCTCTTCCTCCGCCGAGCCGTGGAGGAGGAGCATGGCTCGGCGGGATACTGGCAATTCCTTCTTTTTATTGGAGTAGCTCTTTCCATCACAGCTTTCCCAGTCCTTGCCCGTATCTTAGCCGAACTCAAGCTCTTAACCACAAGCGTTGGCCAAACGGCCTTAGCCGCTGCGGCTTTCAACGATATAGCTGCATGGATCCTCCTTGCCCTAGCCGTGGCTCTCCCTGGTAGTCAAGACCACCACAAACACGCATCTCCATTGATATCCATATGGGTTCTCCTTTCGGGTCTCGCCTTTGTAGTCTTCATGGTTTTTGTGATCCAACCAGCAATGAGATGGATAGTCCGGTACTATGACGGGACCATGCACGAAGCTTGCATATGCCTAACACTAGCAGGAGTCCTGGTATCCGGTTTCATCACTGACTTAATAGGACTACACTCAATTTTCGGAGCGTTTGTCTTTGGCCTAATCATACCAAAAAGTGGGTCTTTCAGTGACCGTCTTGTAGAGCGGATAGAGGACTTTGTCTCGGGGCTGCTCCTTCCGCTCTACTTTGCATCTAGTGGACTGAAAACGGATGTGAATAAGATAAGAGGTGCAGAGGCGTGGGGGATACTGGCCTTGGTCATATCCACGGCTTGCGCAGGCAAGATCATAGGTACTTTCCTCATGGCAATGATGTGCAGCATACCGGCGCGTGAATCTCTCACCTTAGGGTTTTTGATGAACACTAAAGGACTCGTCGAGCTAGTTGTACTCAACATAGGCAGGGAGAAGAAGGTAACCTACTAGTATACTACAATCTTAACATTATTTTCTATAATTATTGCGCTTTTAGTTGAGTTAATATCTCTTACATCTTAGAGCACCTGTCAAAATAATATATATACATAAAAGTAAAATTTTAAGCAGATGATATTTTCAGTTGTTGTTGCTATGTTACTGATAATTATTTTTAGAATATGAAAATGTTAATGAGAATTATTTTTAGTCTTTATGTTTAAAATGGACTCTCTTGTGGTAATATCCCGATCAGGTACTAAACGAAGAGATGTTCGCAATTCTAGTATTGATGGCTCTTGTCACAACCTTCATGACAACTCCCTCAGTCGTGGCTATATACAAACCCTTGAACTATGGCGGTTTGGATAGTTCTACACCTGGTGATAAGGGGAAGTTACGCATACTAGCCTGCGTACGTAGTCCCCAAGACGTCCCTTGTATAGTCAAACTCGTCGAGTCTTTTGGCACGTCGTCCAACGGATCAATCAAATTATACGTGATGCACTTGATAGAACTCACTGACCTACCATCCTCCATTTCAATGGTCCAAAGAACGAGGAGAAACGGTGTGCCGTTCATACACAAGCTGTGTAGAGTGACGTCACGTGACGAGATAGAAGATGCGTTCAGTATTTACGAACAGGTTAGAGACCAGAAGCAAAGGTTAAAGATACGTCACTTGAAAAGTGTGTCGGTGTTGGGAACTATGCACGAGGACGTATGCAACGTTGTGGAACGTAAGAAGGTGTGGATGGTCGTGTTACCGAATATGGTAACGGGATGGAGAGTGGTTAATCAGAGAGTGATGGAACATGCTAAATGCTCGGTCGCTGTTTTAAACCATCAAGAGGTTGGAGAAAGCAGTACTATTAGTAGCAGCGAGGGGACAAAAAGAGTAGGTGTTGTGTTTATTGGTGGAGCCAACGATAGAAAAGTACTTGAGATCGGAAGCAGAATGGCCCAAAACCCCAAGATCATAGTAACACTAATGCAATGCTCGGATAACACTATAGCTTCTCCTTATTGTGAAAAGGTAACAAAATCATTTAACCATTAACTAACTGATAGAAACTTTATATATATTCTAGACTTTAAATGATTAAACTCTTGATAATAACTAACTAAAGATTGTGGATGATGCAGGAGATTGATGAAGTAGCTGTGGAAGAATTCAAGAAACAATGTGAAGGTAAAGGGGTAGACTATGAAGAGATAGCAGCTGCGGGAAATCTTGGAGAGATTATAGAGGCAATAGGAAGGAGGAAGGAGTATGAGCTTCTGATAATTGGAAATCGACAGGTTTTAACAAGTTACTATGAGATGGGAGGAGTAGAGGTTTCAACGCTAGTCATTCATGGATGCAGTGAAAATGATAGAGCTAAAACTATTTTGGGAGATAATGTTTGAGAACTGAGACTAGGGAAGAGGCGATGAACCTTATGTACATATAATGAGCCTCTAAATAAATAACCACTGTAAAATACTAGTTTGTTGGAGAACTTTTAGTTTACAATGTTGCTTCCCAATAAATGTTGAAACTAGTTCTCAAACTTCTAGTGGAGGAACTAGGTGTGGCCTTTTACCGAAGAATCGATCCAAATCAAACTGAAACTTAATTTTTTTTTTTTTTTTTTTTTTTTTT